TATTACTTGCAGCCCACGCACTCAGATAAAAGCCAAGACTACCCCTAAAAAAGCAATTCCAGTGAGAGAAGTTTGAAAACCACCATTTTTGCCAAAAAGAATTCACTTTGGGATTAGGAAACTGGTTTGAGGACCAGGGAGGAGGTCAGAGATTAACTCACATTTGACTGGATGTTCTTTTAAATGATTCTCTTGGCATTTAGTTTCCATACTTTTAAAACAGAGGTATCCACTGTCAGGCACATTTGTAGAAAATACCTGAAGAAACTGAAACAAGTATGAAAGGAATCTTTCGAATTCCTGGGTGAGTGAAATAGTGGTCATGAAAATAAGGTATTTTTATTATTTGTTGTGGTTGCAGAAAGTATTTAACACTATTTAGCAAATAATGTACTAAATGAATGTAATTGAAATACCTTGATCAGAGTTTATCTGGGGTTATCTTTACATATGCTTATTTTTTATGGGGTAGGTGTGTCAGAGCATTATAATATTAACAAGCAGTGAACCATTCACTTGTAAGAATGGGACGAAGTGAAAATTTCACAAGGGTGTTGGGCCAAGGAGTCTTTTTGGTATTCATTTTCAATGGCTTCTGAAGAACAGAAAGAGGCCCAGCCACGAAGTCTTCATTCTTTATATTTTGGCAAGATTGGGATTGGCTAGGGGATATTGTATTTCAGAAACTGACTTTAATAGGATAAGATGCTGGCTAATATGAATACAGCAAGAGATGAGATTTAGATGAGGTAGAGCTTGGGAGTTAGGAGGTGGGGAATCAAATCAGTCACTAAAGTGACAGTCAAAATGCCTAATAAGGGGATGAGCTGAGAGGGCATAAATACGTTCCTTGAAATTCTACCCTGTTATTTTTCCAACTTCAAAGGGTTTTTCTGAAATTAAATGTACTATGTTATGAATCTTGCTAAACTCAGTTCATCTTTTTGAAATAGGTAAAGGGGATAGAAATTAATTTCACAGCTGGAAGGAAAAGAGAGGTAAGGTTACTGGGAAGCCCTTAGGCAATTTGGGGGTATCACCTATTTACACTACAGGTAAATATGGTAAGATGGGGTCAGACCTGAGTTTGAATCTAGGTTTCCTCATGTGTATAGAGTTCAACTGTCCAATGATTTAAGAATTATAACCTACATAATTAGCAGACATTTATTTTAGGAACATACCATTTGTTTCTCTAAATCCCACATGCACTCACAAAACAGTCTCACATGTAAACTGCCTTGTCTCCACATTGACTGCCTACTGAGCACCTTGGAGATGCCTTGCAGCTGCTGCTAACCACAGTGAGAAGACAATACCATTGCCAAGTGTAGTAGTCAGTCCTCAAGATGATTCAAAGTTTTGTGGTAATTTATTATGCATAATAATAAAACATATATTTCATTATGAAGGGTGAGGTGCTTCCATAACAAAAAACCTCAGATGTTGGAGTGGCTTTGAAACTGGGCAGTGGGAGACTCTGGGAGGACTCAGAGGAGAGTGTTAGTGAAAGCCTAAAGAGCCTGGATGAAACTGTTGGCAGAATCCTGATGGTTTTTAAGAGACTGTAGATGAAGGCTTAAAGGGCAATGAGGAAAATGTTATTGGAAACTGGAGGAAAAGGGTCTTTATTATGTAGTGGTAGGAAGTTTAGCAACACTGTCACCTGTAGTAATGTGGAAAGTAGAAAATGTGCCTAATTAATTGAGTGTCCTAGCTAAGTACATTTTCAGGTAGAGTGTTGAAGGTGCTACCTGATGTCTTATTCCTGATTATAGCAAAATATGAGAAGACAGAGATAATCTAAAGGACTTTTTAAAAAAACAACCCAGAACTTGCTAGATTTGAAAATTGCCATATTCTCTCGATGGCCAATAGTGCTAAAATGAAGAAATGGCTCCCAGTCAAAAATAAACTCTAGGCCACGGCAAGGAAAACATCATCAAATGATGAAACTGAGCATATGGTTGTAAACCCTTTGTTCAGACCTTAGAAAGATACATAGCAATGATTCAGAGAATCATTCAAATAGTAAGCTTTTTTCAAAGAAGCTTATGAGTGTTATACCTCAGCAATTTCTCTCCAGAGTAGAGAGGAACTTATCTCAAAGAGATTTGTGGGTATGATTTTTGTCCAATGGAGTTGGTGTCCCAGTTAGATTCATAGGAGACTCACAAAATTTTTAAAAGAATTATATTGTCAGGAACATTGCCAGCATGAGCTAAATGGGACAGAGACAGTACAAAATGGGAAGGGGCCTTTAGACACCTTAAATTCTGTCAGGAAGCAGAGTGACAAATTACATAGCTGCAAACATGGGTTACTTTTCATAAAAAGGAAGGATAACTGAGAGAGTGGAATCAGGAGCCCAAAGGTTGAAGTCAAAAGCCATGGGGAGTCATTCCCAGGCAGAAGTAGGATTGAGCCTTAATTGAGGAACTTCTAATAAATGTATCCCACTGGATTTCAGGATTGCTATGGACCAGTGACTCTTCTGTGCTTCCAGTGTTTTCTTCTTTTTGAACAAGAGTATCTGTATGACTTATCCCGAGTCCTCCAACTATTGTATGTTGGGAGTGTGAGGGGCACATGGGTATTCAGATGGAGAGGAACTACAACTTGAGGAGCTGTTTTTAAGACACTGTACTTAGAAGCCTATTCCACACCTGGACCTGATTTAAGTGATAAGATTCTGGACTTTGAACTGATGATGGAATGGATTGAGACTTTTGGGGACCATGGCAGGAAGTGAATGTATTTTGCATTTAAAAGACAGATGAATCATTGGGGACCAAGGGGCAGAACATGGTAACCAGCCTCAGACTTCCACCTCTTGGTGTTTACATCCTTGTAAAACGAATAGGGCTGATCTCTAATAGGCTATGTTGGAAATGATTATGTGTGCTTTCTGAGCTGAAGCCATAGAAGCATTGCACGTTCCACATTCTAGGATCACTTGCTTTGGGAGAATTCAACTGACATGCCATGAGGACTCAAGCAGCCCAACAGAAAGTGATGAGGCTTCCTGCTGACAGTCATGTGAGTGAGCTGTTGTGGAAGCAAATCTTACATTTCTTGTTGAGCCTTCAAGTGACTATAGCCTCAGCCAACATCTTCACTGAAATCTCTTAAAAGATCTTGAGTTAGACCACTCACCCAAGCCACTTCCATATTCCTGGCTTTCATATATTGTATGAAGTAATAAATTTTGTTGTTTAAAGCTGCTACGTTTTGTGGTAATTCTTATGCAATAATAAATTAATATAATAAGGTATCTATTTCTTGATGCTCCCAAAGATTCCAATTCCTAGAGAATCATAATTCAGCCCATTCTGATTTCAGCCCATTATGAAATTCCTTTTTAACAGTTCCATCAACCTCTGCCTCTAACACCTTTTCACCACAGAGGGCTCAAGAAGGATTGTGGAGTATCAGATATGGAACTACACAGCATGATATTTTAACCTTCTGTCAGATAAAGTTAGGAACAATAATAATGACAACAGGAAAATACACATATCCCCTCCCCACCAAAGACCCTGGACACAAAATGTTCTTATAAGGTTCTAAAATTGTTTTCTTTGGAAAAATATTTTCTAAGTGTGATAATGTTATATTTGTAAAAGCTAAGTTATTTCCTTTTAAGCCTGGAGAAGTGGAAATAACCAAATAAGAAACACTGTTCACTAGGTATACAAATGTTGAATTGACATTTGTTTTTCTTTTTTCAGAATGGTCCATCAATCTTGTTTTAAATGCAGACACAGAAATGATTTCCAGAGAAATGAACTGGAGAAAAATAGAAGTGTGTATGGAATTGGAACAAAACAAAAGCATTTTATAGAATTGTTTTGAAGTTAAAAAAAATAAACCTGTCAAAAGCAGCACAGAAAGTAAGCATACATTCTATGTAGACATTTAAACTATTTAAGATGATTAATAACTCCCATCTCATGGCATTAGAAGATCATCTAAAAATCCTAGTTCAAAATTATCTAAGGGAATCAATGGAAAACAGACACCATTCTCTCTCTTCTCATTCTTCTCAATCACACCTCAGCCTTTCCGTGGACCAGATCAAATGCCCTTTTCCTCCCGCCAAAGCAGAAGTTCTTCTATGAGTAGAGAGATATAGGTATGGAGTAGAGGTAGGAGGTTGCTTACACTACCAGCAGCTAGCCAAAAAACGTTCCATGTGTTAAAACCTTCTTCAAAGGATTATTATGTGCACTAAATATTATATGTGCCACAAAGAATAGTTAAAATGTAGTGAGTACTTCTACAAGGTCCACACCTTTACATTTCATCCCAAATCAGCCTCATGAGGTAGGTATTTCCATTATTTTCACTTTACATCTAATACATATTTTTAAAGTGGCAATCAGAATGATCAATTAACTTCTCCAAAGCCAGTAAATTGTAGGACCAGGATTTGGAGGCCCTTGGTCAGTGGATCTTCCAAAACTGGTTTTTAAAGAGCCGCAAAAAGATCTAGCCTGATTCTTGACACTTTAATATTGTTTAATAAATAACAGCCCCCTTCCTTTTTCTTTGAACACAATCTGAAACTAGGTGATCTCCTCACATGAAAGAAAATGCACACTGGAACTCTCCCTCGACAAACACTGCCTCTTCCCATTTACTTCACCTGACATTTTAGCCAAACCCAAGACAAACTTGCAGGAAAAGGCATAGAAGTTGCCCCTTTAGAGGTTCTGAGCCCCTCCGAGGAAGAAATGAAAACAGACTTTCCAAATGGACAAAGTATAGTATTGCTTTGGATCGAAAATGTCTGTTTGCTCAGCCTGACTCTGAGATCCCGTGAGCCTGGGAGAACAAACACAACCCTTTCCGGGGCCCTCTGGAAATCCCAAGCGGTCAGGTTCTGTCTGATAAACACTCCGCGCTGACACCTTGCGGAACACGGGGCAGCAGGGGCTGGGACAGGCAGCAACAGACTGGAGGAGACTGAGGTGCACACGCACACCGGCCTGGCAGCCGGAAGTCTGGCTGACATCTCCAGGGAGGGAGTGTTGGAGGCGAGGCGCAGTTCCCGCCTCTGGAGTAAGCTGGCGACCTCATTCATCCTCCCACTCCTTCCGGGGATGCTGAGCCCCCGCGGGAAACGCAGAAAAAAGGCCACTGCCACTTTAAATAACTGAGGAAGTGAAAGGCGGCCGCCTAACAGGCAAAGGGAAAGTGGAACCGGGGCGATACGGACCGGCAACGGCGCGGTCTCGCCGCCGGTAGCGGGAGACAAGCGCGGCGCGGGGGCCGACGGGGGCGCGGGGCCGCGGCGCCGGAAGTGCCCGCGCCGCCAGAGGAAGCGCCGCGGGCACCAAGCGGCAGAGCGGTGGAAGGCCCTTTCCCCCCTGGCCGGGAGGGGGCTGCCAGGAGCGGGCGGCAGCGGCGCCGGGCCCCAGGCCTGCTCTGGAATACGGCGCGGCCCACGCGGGTGCCGACTCCCCGGGACGGGACCCGGGTCGGGAGGAGGACTTAAGGGGGCCGCGCGAAGGCAAAGCGGCCAGCTCGGAGTGCTGAGGCCTTGGCCGCTTCCCAGCGCTCACATGGCCTCCGGAGTGGACGAGGCCGTCGAGGAGCTGCCGCACGACGGCACGTGTGACGAGTGCGAACCCGATGAGGCTCCGGGAGCCGAGGAAGTGTGCCGAGAATGTGGCTTCTGCTACTGCCGCGGCCACGCAGAGGCGCACAGGCAGAAATTCCCCAGTCACCACTTGGCCGGCTATGTCCATGGCGCAGCCCAGCCCTGGACCTCGGGGGCCCAGGGGAACGGGGAGGGTCCGGAAGACGTGGAGGCTAAGGCGGAGGAGGAGAGGGATATAGAAAGTGAGTTGAGGGAAGACAGCGAGTCGGAAGAAGAGAGCGAGAGTGAGGATGACAGCGATGAAGAGAGTGAAGAAGACAGTGAGGAAGAAATGGAAGATGAACAAGAGAGTGAAGCAGATGAAGACAACCAGGAAGGAGAATCTGAGGCTGAGGGAGAAACTGAGGCAGAAAGCGAATTTGACCCAGAAATAGAAATGGAAGCAGAGAGAGTGGCCAAGAGGAAGTGCCTGGACCATGGGCTGGATTTGAGCACTTATTGCCAGGAAGATAAGCAGCTCATCTGTGTCCTGTGCCCAGTCACTGGGGCTCACCAGGGCCACCAACTCTCTACCTTAGACGAAGCCTTTGAGGAACTAAGAGTAAGTATTGGGCATTCAGAGCATAGGTTTAGAGGTCAGGACACCTGGGTTTCAACTCAGGTGGCCTAGTTGTGGCCACATTCACTTTGACCTTGTGTCTAAAAGCTAGTCTATTCAACTGGTTGGGAACAGTGCTTATTCACCCTTTGTGGTTGAAGCCTTTGAAAATCGGATGAATGTTCTGGACTCTGACAGAAAACTGTGTGCACTCAAAAATCTAGTATACAGTTTTTGAAAATTTTCAAGTTTCTGATGTCTGGATCCCAAATAAAGCATTCCTTGGGAGTTTTGACCCCACTTAGGCCAATTCCCAAATCATCACCATTGTTGAGACTAGTGCCTTGACTTAGGGCTCTTGATAAAGAAGTGTCTTTGCCTGTTTGAAAACATGGTAAGCCTTGGTTTAGCCAAATGAGTCCAAGAAGGTGTGTCCTCAGTGGCAGTTTGTACATGTTCATTGTTGTATAGAATTCTAGTTTTATGACTATGTCACAAGGTGTCCTGTCAGTGATGAACATTGGATTTCCAGATTCTAGAGCTTCTGGCTATTATAAACAATGTTGGTATAAATTCTTGTTCATGTCTTCTGGTGCACATGTATATACATTCATACGGAATATAAACCTAGATGGACAATTGTTGGGTCCTAGACTGTATGTACCATCAGTGGTACTAGATGTTGCCAACTGTTTTCCTATGCAGTTGTACCAATTCGCATTGCCATGAAAAGTGTGTGAGTTCCTGTCGCTCTGTTTCTTCACCAACACTTGCTATTACAGAATTTTAAATTTTTGTTGGTCTCATGAATGTGTAATTGTATCTTCTTGTTACTGATTTGTCATTTGTATTCCTCTTGTTACTGATGACTTTAAGTATCTTTTGTATTTCTTCTTTTGTGAAGTGCCCATTCAGGTCTTCTGCTCATTTTTCTAGTGGTTTATCTTTTTCTCATTAGTATATAGAAGTTTTTATACATTTATTTCTGACTTCTTTGTTGTTTACATGGTTTGCAAATTTGTTCTTCTACTCTGCTTTTTCTTTCTCTTTTTAAAAAATTTTGTCTTGATGGTCTGCATTTTAAGGTAGTAGAATTTATCAATTATTTTTCTTTATTGTTAGTGCTTTTGTGTCTTGTTCCACTTAGTATTGATTTTTGTGCAGTGCAAGTAGGGACTTAATTTTTTCCACAGATAACCAGTTACTGTAGCAGCATTTATTGAAAAGCCTGTCTTTTCTGCTCTGATATGCTGCTATGCCACCTGTCATATATCAAGTGTCCATATGTGCATGAATGTGTTTCTTCACTCTTCTATTCTGTACCACCGATCTGTTAGTATATCCCTGTGTGAACAACATGTTTTCTCAGTTTTCATAGCTTTGTACCATGTCTTAACATCTGGTAGATCAAGTCCTTCTATTTCGTTCTTCTAGAAGAGTGTCTTGACCAGTCTTCACCTTTTATGTTAGAATCATAAAACTTTTTGTTTTTATATAAGCCAGTATATGGAGAATTGATACCATTACAACATGAAGTCTTCTCATTAATTTGTTTAGGTCTTTTTTGCATCACAAAATTTTATGGTTTTCTTCTGAAAGACTTCATCATTGTGAAATTTACTCCTGGATACTTACAATTTTGTAAGATTGTAAAAAAATGAATTTAAATTTTTGTTTTCTGATTGTATATAGGAATATGATTAACTTTTATGTATTGATTTTTGTATTAAGTTATATGTTTAATTCTCCTACATATTCTAATAATCTATAGATTCATTCTATATACATCAGAGGGTAGTTTTTGTTTCTTTCCAATCCTCATACCTGTTTAGTTTGTTTTTTTACTTTGTTTCAAATAGGATCTCAGGTATAATGTTGAATGGAAGTGATAGTGTGTATTTTGGCCTGGCTTATAATTGAGGAATGCTTTATATTTTACAAATAAGTGTGATAATTTTTTTTTCACTGTAGTTCATCAGATTAAGAAAGTTACCTTCTAGTCCTAGTTTAGAAGTTTTTATTAATATTGAATGGATACTGAATTTTATCAAATGTCTTTTCTGCATCTATTGTGATATTCATATGATTTTACTCAGTATTTTAATATGAATTACATTAATTGATTACTTTTAAATTAATGTGTCTCAAAAGCCTCTCTTTCACTTTTGCCCTTTCACCTGGTTTCCCTAACAATTATTGGTAACTGCTTTTATGAGTTTTTTGCTTATTCTTCAAGTGCTTCTTTTTGCAAATACATGCATGTGCACATATATGGTCTTATTTCTATCCTTTTACATCATCATTATTATTTTTTACAATTAAAGCAAGTTGGAATAAACCCAATTTGGTCATGATGAAGTATCCATATGTATTTATATTTGGCTTACTGGTAATTTATGTAGGATTTTTAAGACTGATATTTATGGAGGAAATTAGCTTGTAAATTTCCATTCTTGTACTGTCCTCTTAAGATTTTGCTATTAAGGTTATATTGGCTTCACATTATGAGTCAAGGTGTACTGCTTCTCACATATTTTATCTGCCTTTTAATGTTCTGGAAGTGTTTGTAAAAGATTGGACTCTTCCTAGAATGGTAGAACTGACCATGGAAACCATCTGGACCTGAAAAGAGAGTATTTTTTTGTTATTTTGTTTTGTATAGTATTTTTTACTATGGGTTCAATTTCTTTAATAGTTATAGGTCTGTCCAGGTTGTCTATTTGTTCTTAGGTCAGTTTTGATAAATTATACTTTCCCGGAAGTTTGGCACTTTTGTCTAACTTTTTCAAATGTGCTAGTGCAAGTTTGTGAATCATATCCTGTTATTGTCTTTTTTCCATACTATAGCTATCCTCTTTATTTCTTAAAGAACAACAAACAGGTTCACTTGTAACATCTCTGATAATTCCAGTATGTGGACTTTGTGGATCTTTCTCTACTATTGTTTTTCATGTATATTTCCTCTTGTGCTTTGTTATGTTTGACTGTGTAGCTTCCCATTGTCTTTAAAAAAATTATTTGTGAGCATTTCCCAAGCCTTGGAATGACATTATGCTTTAAAAAAGAATTTGAGTTTGCTTCTGCTAAGGCCCCAGTACAATGTGTTTAGAACCTCCTAAACTTAAATTAATCGCTTGAGATTTCTTGAACCAAATTTTAAGGAGGTGCCTGCCCAAATTTACAGCCTCTTAGATTTTTCTTTCATCCCACCCTACTATACCCCCACTTCTGTTCAGCTCCAATACAAGGCTTCCCACACTCCCCTTTGGAGGGTGAAATAGTGGCAAGTTTACTTTGGTTTGTCTTCACTCTAGAATTTTGCTCTTCGGCAGGGGTGGGAGAGTCCCGAGTCTGTACAGAAATACAGAAACGGTGTCGTATAAATGTTCCACTCTGAGCACTCCATAGGTTTGGCTTTCTGTTACTGTTCCCCACCACCACCCACCACCCCTGCCCCTGCACACACTTTCTGCCCCTAATCAAAGGCACATTCCAGTTTCTTGTAATCAGCTGATGTCCTCAGATCATGAACTGCTTCCTTATACTCTGCTTATGTTAACATTGGAACAGTGTTAACTAACCTGTAGACCTTATTAGAATTTCACTGGTTTTAATAATGACTTTTGTATCAGGGTCCTATGGCCACATTACATTTTCTTGTTTTTGATGATGTAGATTGTTTGGGGAGTGCTAGTCAGAGATTTAGCAGAAGGTCTCTCAGTTTGGATTTGTTTTTCTCATGTTCCAACTGGAATTATGGGTTTTGGGGCAATACAAATTATGTTTTGCTCTTTTCACTTAGCAATATGTCACAGAAATCACTCCATAAATCTGCCTATTTATTTATTTATTACAGTTGCAAATATTCCATTGTGTGTCATTTATTCAATTCTTAATTTTGATACAATTTTTCAATTGTAGAATGTCTTTTTGGTTAATTTTTAAAGATCCATTTTTCTAAATCTTTTGGGGTCTAAGTCTTGATCATATGTCACATTTTCACAATTTTCTTCCTGTCTCATAATTTTTCATCCAATACTAGACATTGTGTTTCAAAGAACTGTAGATACTAGAGTAATATTTTCTTTTTACTCCCTCAGTAAGGGCATGCCATTTGTTGTATTAGTCAGCTAGGATGAGGGGCTGATCATTTTGATCCAATAAAGATTTGAGCTTGGTCAGAGCTTGGTTACAGCTTTAATTAGTTTCAGTTCACCTCTGGTTTCAGATATTTTGAAGCGGTGTACATTTGCTTGTTGACAGGAGAGTAAATCTCTTGGAATATCAAAAGTGGCTTGACAGGATGTTATACTGTATTCATTTATTCATTCAGGAAGCACTTAGCAAGCATCTTCCAAGGCAGGCTCTTTCTAAGCATTGGGTATGTAGCTGTGAGCAAAATGGAAAAACTGCATACTTCTACTGGAACTTACATTGTAAAGGAAATAGGAAAGAATAAATATTCAAATAAACATGTAATAAATATTAGAAAGAAAAAGTAAAACGTAATGTAGGATTAGAGAGGGACAGGAAGAGCCTAGCTCTGACACTTGCTGTTTGACCTTGGGCAAGTTATGTAATAGTTTGGCCTTGTTTCCATAGTTCTAAAATGGGTGTATAGTTATGAAATAAATAAAATATGGTTTTTGTGTGAATAAAATGACTTACTTTGATAAAACACTTTAACAGTGCTTAACATCTTGTCAGTAATTAAGAAATGTTAGCTGTGTTTTTATTATTAGTATGAGGAGTTTAGTTGAACATATAAGTTTAGAGTTGAGAGGAATTGTACAATATATATTTTGTTACCTCAGTGCCAAACCAGGAGGTTTAGAGGTCAGGACACCTGGGTTTCAACTCAGGTGGCCTAGTTGTGGCCACATTCACTTTGACCTTGTGTCTAAAAGCTAGTCTATTCAACTTGTTGGGAACAGTGCTTATTCACCCTTTGTGGTTGAAGCCTTTGAAAATCGGATGAATGTTCTGGACTCTGACAGAAAACT